CAGAAATTCTTGGGGACTGTCATTTCAGCAGTAGACCAGGGATAGAGTTCCCCCAATCAATTGCCCCATCCAGGCCATCAGGGAAAATGCCCTTGAACCAGAGGTCTGAGTTTTAATTCTGGGTTCCCACACAGGAGGCCTGTATTAACCACCCCGTTAGAAGATCTGTCCAAGATTCTTGGAGAGCAAAAGCTGTGGGAAGATGTTTCTACAAACACTTCCAGGAGGCTCCTTTATGTCAACTTCCATCCCTTATCTCTGGAGTGTCAGACTAATAAGATAGGATCAGTTAGAACCCCTCATCCGGGAGCAATGCTATGAGCTAGGATGTTTCACCTGAAGGAAAAATTGGGTAAGGCAGTGGAAAGTCAATGAACTTTGGCATTGCCTAGACCTTTGTTTGGATCCTGGACTAGCTATGTGACCTGAGTAAAGTTCTTAACTTCTTTGGGCCTTAATTTCTTACCTGTAAAATGAAGATAATAATACTGTTGCTGTGACAGTGAATGGAACACGTACATGATGAGTGAGACGCTTAGCAGCTGCTTGTGAACACAAGCTTCCTTCTCTCTCCTCTTTCACCTTTGTCCCCACCACACCTGGCCTGGGTGGCCCAGACTGGCTCTGATGTCACAGCAATCAGAAGAGAAATGCAAAGAGATGAACCTGATCCTGTGAGTATCAGAGGGAAAGTCACCTCCACAGTCAGAATGATCAGACTCTCCTATTCCTCCTGCCCACGTAAACCAGTGGTTCTCAAATTTCGTTCCTGTGGGAATCAGCTTTTTAAATTTAAATCTTCCTGGGCTCATCCCTGGGTACCTCTCCACACCCCAACCTTGGGATCCTGATGCAGATTGTGGTCTGGAGAGGCACTAAACAATCAGAGATGGGGTGGCGGGGGCATAGGGGGGGCGGGCTGGAAAAACAATGAAGGAGACAGACATTCCTTGGTTACTAAGAGAAAAACTTTAGTCATTGATATTTAATCACTCGCACCGAAAGACAGAAGGAGCCATTAACAGGAATCACCCAAATACAATAAAGTTCCAAACCACCGACAATAAGATTCATAGCCAATTAGCCTCAGTCAGTCTTTTTATACTGGCATATGAATAGTTGGGGGAGGCTCTAGGAACATACGATCTCTCAGATGAAGTGAGGGGCCTCCCAGAGACCCAGCTCCATGTTCCCCACTGCCCCCTTAACGCTGAGGAGATACGCACAGCCCCTCATCAAGGGCAAAGCACAGAGATGCGCCTATGCACTGCCATCTCTCTACCTGGCTCCCTTCCCAGAGGGCCTGGCACGTAGTTGGTCAGTACTTAGTAATTGTCTGCTAGCCTGAAGCAAGTTGGGGAAGAAAATAAGCAGTTTATATCAAAAAGCTT